CCCTGTCGTTGTACAGTTTCAACACCAATATGCTTAAATTTAGTTTCCGTAAAAAAGTATCTATACTGCGTTACCTATACGGTAAGTATAACCAAGTATATTCTACTTTCCGCGATGGTTATTTCGGTAGCGCACTTAATGTTTTAAGCGTTCAGAGAATAATGACTTTCCAACAAGGTACAGCAATTTATCCCCCTCCCCTCCTCCCCTCCCACCCTCGTTTAAATCACTCGGTGTATATATTATATATAAATGCCCTTAGCCTCATTTACATAATTGCGATGCAATATGCACATCGTATAGGCGTAACACCGTAATATTATACGATAGTATTGGTCAAAATTTGTATTTTTTTTTTTTTTTTTTTTTAAAAANAAAATTTTTTTTTTTTTTTTTTTTTTTTTTATAAAAACACAATGTAATATTCATTGCGGTATGTCTAGTAACTAAACACTTTTGGGCATCTAACGTAATTTTAATGTTGTAGTATTTTTATCGAATACTATAGATTGATGTTATGATTATGAAGATGATGTTTTTTTTTTTTTTTAAAGCGAACGGTTTTCCGTATCAGCATAATTAAACATAATATTTGTTGAACGAAAAAAATATAGCTAATACCTAAAACAATTATAATCTCCTCTCGTTAAATTTAAAAAAAAAATGTAGATAAGACACAATTTCGTACCTAAAAATACGTGTGTCATTATCATTCTTCCTTAAACAGCTTTTGAGGGTATCGCTGCAAAACATCAATGCCTTCCGTTTCTCCGTGTCTCGAGCTACTTCACTAACAAAACCTATCCCTAGTTTTCTTATTTCTTTTTCTTGCTTTATCAACACATAGATATATATATAGATAGATAGATTTATTGTTATTTCTTTGTTCTATTGTTATTATTGTATACATCTTCGTTTCAGTTTTTCTATTGGTTACCTCACGCGAGATTTCCAGTTTAGGATAACATTTGTTATTGATTTAGATCTTATTAAACGTATACTTTTGTCGAAATTTAGTGGATCCGTGCGATTTTCCGAATAATTCCTGTACCTATATATTATTGTTATTAGCCTATTGTTATTAGACTATTGGTTATTCGTGCCTATTGAATACTCAATTGTTTTCAAAAGAGCCTCCGTGCAATTTAAATTAAATATACTTATTTATCAAAAAACAATTTTAAAATGAATAACTCGTGCGCATTGCCCTTGTCCTTAAATTATACAGCAGTTGTGCCTACATTAAAAACGTTCATTTTTTCCTCCCCGCCCGACCTAGAGATTATTTTTTTAATTATAAAACAAGCAAATGTTAGAAAGTTACGTAAAATTGTATATGTGCACTACCTACTCAGAGAACCCCATATTATATAGGGTGTGATGATAAAAGAAAAAAAAGAAAAGCCCAGTCTGTGTAACGACAGCGCCTTTTCTGTATTCACGGAACGTACGCGCAATTCTCCCAACAACGCGGTCTGTGTTCGTCAATGGATTTCAAACGCCAAGGCAATAGCGATGGTTCGCAGGAGCTTTTCAAAACTAACCCCTTTCCCCTTTCTCCCTCGCACACACTCCGCTACCATTAGTACTTCCTGCGGCCTAGACGTCAAAAAAAACCTTCGCCCTCCGGAAACTACAGTTTGCGGCTTTTGGCTGACCCTCCCTTCAATAATATATAACATAAAACACATCATACACTGTAGGATACGGGTTTGTGCGTTTGCGAATTATATAAATAAAAAAAAAAACTATAGCGGGTATAAAGCTTAAAGAGCCGCCGTTTGACTTTTTGCTAGTTTCGTTAATTAAAACGAGTGCTGCAGCAAATTTGCTCACGATAAATTGTTTGAAAATTCAACAAACATAAAATATGATGAAATATCGGTACTCATCTATATCCATTTAAAAACTGTTTATATCTTATTAATAAACAATAAACAACTTTGGTCAAATATAACACCTGCAAAATAAAAATCAAATACTAAATAGGTATACCTGAATAGTGAGTATACCTATTTCAATCCAAAATAACTCTTGATAAAATAATGAATATTTTAATCGAGTTTATCGATGCGAATTTACCTGCATGAGTATTTTCATTTAAAACTTACAATTATGAGAGGGACGTTATATTCTAAACATCATTCACGCGTACGAAACACTCGCACGAAATATTGGTACTTTAAGTATTTATTAATTTTAGTACACATGAACACGTAAAATTCCACATATATCATCGCGATCAAACGACTAGGTACATTACAAGACAAGACGAAATTCAGTCGGTTTCAGTGAAATCAAATACATTATACGCTTTGATTTATTTAATAATAATTGAACGAACATTTAAAATTGTATTACCCAACTTCAAACATTAAAAAAAAAAAATGTCTCGTAATTATCATAATAATATAATATTATTGCGAAGTTATGCTGTTTAACCATAACCTTAGCCTCCCCAGCTTTTCCCGTCAAAATACAGCAGCGTCGAGAACAATTTTTACGGTCGACTGAAGTGACAGTTTGATGGCGAACTTATTATACAATGTTTAGGTTAAGTACCGGATTTGACGGCGTGTGGTTATTTTTTATACTAGAGCACACCTTAAAGTCTTAAGTGCACTTATATAGACAAATCCGGCTCGACTACACAAGAGGAAAAATTCCGAAGAGAGGAAAACACACAGGAATATTGCACAGTGTTGCGCATATGATTTCATCGAACGTACCCGCCAATGCGTCGAGAATCACAGCTTAAAACAGATGCGAGATTTATCATTGAAGGACTTCAAAATAATAAAATCTAAATTATAATGTATTCGTTATTGAAATAATAAATTATGTCTTTTTTTTAAATGGGTACCATAATAGTTAAAACACTTCAAGGAGTGTATAATTTGTGAGTCAACAATTTTAATTGTAAATCTATTATCAATCAACTTTAACAGTTGTATTGGAAAATATACAACTAATGCAACTAAACATTTTACTAGTAATACGAAATAACTTATACGTTTTAGAATAAATACATACAAATAGAAAACATAATAGGTACCTACTGACTGTCAATTTTTTATACATTTCAGATATTATACGAAAAAAAAGTTAGGTAATTTTACAAAAAAATGACCATGACGTGCTTTAACTTATAAAGAGAATATGCATGTGCAGAAGCTAAAATGATAGTTTTAGACACATCTGAAGTTTAAAAAAAAAAAACACTGATGAAATAATATTTTCAGCGTTTTCTGCAGTAGGTACAGGTAAGACAAGCATAACGCTCATCGAAAACGAATTTGTCACATAAAACAACGTCAATTTCAAATAATATGAAATAATTTAGTTTTTAACTCAAACAGAGTTCATGGGCATTATATTTGATAAATTATGTATTTTCACAAAAGTTTATATTATAGCAAGTAAAACCTATGTGCGTACACCAACTAGATGTAAATAATATATTAATATATATGGTAACACGCAGACGCCAATGACTGCATGTAGGTACTTCTATAAATAATAAACCAATATTTATATTGAAAGTTAAATTCTCGCATTGTATAGGTTTTATGAAAGTTTAAAATATTTTCCATATACAATATTAATAAGTATAAATATTCAAACATGAAAAGTGTTTTACATACTACTACTACTACTATTACTACTACTACTACTAACACGGCTACACTATTACGAATAACAGAAAATACGCATACGAGTAATTGCTGGAAAACTAGATTGTCCTCGTATAGTCCAAACCACCATATAGGTTAGGTTAGTTTAGGTTAGGTAGTCTAAAAGATTCAAATATATATATTTTTTTTTTTTTTTATAAACGGGCGCATACAAATTTCAGTTCGTTTTAATGTTTTTTTAACAAGGAAAGGCAGTAAAAATGCTGAAAGAATATTGTACCAACAGCCTTTTAGATGAATAATTACCATCGTTTGTTAACGTTGATTTGTGATTTTTTGATTTTTTTTTGGTAGAGGAGTATGCATTAACATCATAATTTGCATTACACCAAATCCACCTAAATCATACCAAGCCCACTAATATTATAGAACCGCCCATCCGTAAATACGCCACTGAACACGAAAGATAGGTAGATAGGTACCTATTTTGTGTAGGATATTATTTTAAAATTATTATTCCAATGCGTTCAAAGGCATGAACATATGTTAAAATAGAGGACAGCGTTTTAGATTTTAGTTCTGAGTACTGCTCGGTATCTAAGCAGTATCATTTCGTGATTTATCATTGCTAAATATAAAAAAAATAGCTGACACTGAAGATAAGTGTTTCATTGTTGTAGGTGAGAAATTGGTAAGGTAGGATACATAAAGTTATTTCTTTATCTATATGTATATGCAACGAAAAAACGATTCTGAGCGAAATCCGGTTAAACATATTTTATTAAAATTTTATGGTTTTTACGAATTTTATCAACATTTTTTGAACTGTATTATTTTGAACTCCATTATGCTTAATTTTTTTTTTTGAAATCATTATATACACTTCGATTAAAATGTTCAAACATTTCCGAACTCAACCGAAACAACTTTATCCACATAAAGCCAAATAAAATCTAAAAAAACGCGAAAACGTAGCAAGTGCCTATGAACCATTTAAAAATCCAACAAAACAATATAAAAGACTAACATAAGTATTCTGTAAAAATTGCAGATCTCTACGATTATTTCTAGCCAAGTTACAAAAAAAAAAAAAAAAACAAAATAAAAAATAATAGAACATTGACGTCTCAAATTTAATCCAAAATTGAACAAAAAAAGATCTTTTATCATTTTTTGATTGAAGTATTATTTCCAGTAGAAAAGTTGCTCAAAGACAGAAATAAAAGCACACATCATAGTAAAGCTTCAATCAGGTTCTAAAATTACCCTATAACATCTGAAATAAAATACAATATTGAAAAATCTTTTACTAACGAGTATCTGTTAAGCATATTACTTAGTTTAAATTCTGGAAGAGAAATTATACTCGGAAACTTTGTAAAACGTTACACACAAATGATCTCATTAATGTTTATACAAATGTCACAACAGCATTACGTATGTTTTTATGAACTTTCGCAACGAATATTGTTGTGCAGAGAGAAACATTGAAGCATTGCAAAGAATAAAGTTGTACATCTTCGTTCTACCGTATAGATGTGGAAAGATTAAACTCATTAGCTGTTTTGCACGCATAAAGTCTCGAGATTCTCCAAACTATTAATTATGATAATGTAATCGTCGAGTTTTGTACAAAAAAAAAAAAATTCTGTCGCAAAACTTTAAGACTTACGTTTTCGTTACCATTTGGATTTTGTTGTCGTTGTATACGTGTCGAGCATCACTTATTAGTTATTAGGGAATTTGAAGGCATACTCGATAATCTATGTGTTACGTAGCTATAAAATATATTACTGATTAATATCACGTTTTAAATTATACTCGGTATTTATTTTTGACCGGTATGTTTGGAAATTACTTACATTACACACGCTTAAATTTTGATGCAGATTTCTTCTTTGTGAAACAATACTACCGAAACCGGGCATATGGTCGACGAGATCGTCAAATGTTACATTAATCGTACATGATCGTGCCAATGAAAACCTTTTAGTGTTGTAAGCACTCTGTTCAATATTCCTTATCATGGTGTAGGTATCTAATGGCTTCCCGATTCCTCTTGTAATAAACAAATGGATCCGAAAACATCATACGTAAAAGATTCTACATCGGTTAATATACTATTATCATTAATCGTAAAATCGTCTATAATATATGAAATACCCATAAAACGCATCCACGAAAACACCGCAACGGCCAAAACGCAATATCGGTGTACTGCTACAGATCACCGGACTAATTAAAACTAATATAATCATCCTAAATCGAGTAAGACCGTCAATAAATTAATTTCCCACGTGAGAGAATTCAACGGCGTGCGGCATAAACTATAAATATTGTTATCCTAATGGCCAATGTAACAAAAAATTTACTGCTGATAAGTGTGCCACTGTTGCACTGTTGAGATTGGGAAGGTAGGTTACATCGAGCTATTTAATTTGCATCACATATTTAATACACAACGATAAATCATTGCTTACGAAATACTAATCAGAGCGAAGTTTGTTTAAACATGTTTTTGAATTCAGTGATTTTTACGATATTTCGTCAATATTTTAACTTAATAACAAATAAAAAAAATTGTTAGAAAAACAAAATCGAAAATAATGACACCGTTAATACCGTAAATTGTTCTATTTTACTTGTACATTTTTTTCTAAATTATTAACAAAACTACAGAGAAAAATCAAAACATAACCTTTAAGCACCTTAAAGACACAATCTGCGTTTAATAAAAATATTACATTTGAAACTAGGAATAAGATTTCTTGAACAATTCTGTTCAGACACAAATAAAATGGCTCATCATAGTAAAACTAATACATTCTGCTCTCGGATTGTAAAACTCATAATTTTAAACTATTTTTTTTAAATCATGAACACCCTCAATCACAAAAAATATTTTTTTAAAAAAATAAAATACACGGCCGTTCTAAAATCGACTGAAAGTACATTTTGAATATACAACGTACTTTAAAGTAGTCATTTTTTGAAATTCCCATTAATATTCAAAATAATGACGAAAACCTGGCTCTTTAGGTTAAAAAAGATTAAAAATAAAGTTGTCATTGACAACCGTTTTTATTTATTTTTTTGTTATTATTAAGTTTTTGTTATTTAAACTTTTTTAAACTATCATTTTTCATGAAAACGCGCACTATTGTAATCATTTTACCATAATATTATATATATATATATATATATATTGTTAACAAAGCAACACTATCATCTGAACTCCGCTCAGAATTGTTTTTTCATTAGCAATGGTTTATCGTTGCTTACAGGTATACATCAAATTCCCATCTATATCCTACCTTCCAAACTTCCCACCTACAAAAGTGGCTGCACCCACGTGCGAAACTTATTCGTCCTTTTTTAATAATACAATCAGTCCGTACGCGAAAAATTTTACTTGGTTTTTCATATATTACGATAGATACAGCAAAGAAGTAACCACGAACAAAATACATCCGTAACGGTATACACGATTATTGAAATAACACAAACCAGCTATGTACGTTGTATATTATGCATGATTTAAGTTATTACGATTTGTTTTCCTGCTGTATTTTCTCAAGAGAGCTATCATACGGGCACGGTAATCTAATTTTGAAAAATGCATTATATTAAAGTTTATTCTTCGTGAGAAAATTACATTTTTCAAAAGCGGTTAAATCACCTTACATGGTATTTTCATTAAGTTTTAGATTCTGAACGGAACGAGGTATATGCATTAGTTTTATAATGATGTTTATTTTATTTTATCTGTGAACTACTTTTCTACCAACAAATTTTCTCCGCTTTTCAAGTATAGCTCTTTTACTAAAAGAAAATCTGACTGAAGTGGTACTTAAAGGTCTTTTTGGTTTTTCCCAATAAATGGGAAAACTGGGAAAGAACGGATGTACGAAACGTATTATTTTCAAATCGTAAATATTACGGCCTATCAAAACATGTACAACCAAACTTCGCTCAGAATCGTTTTTTCGTTGCGTACGGATATACATTCAATTTCCCCAACTTCTCACTTACAACAGTGGCTCACCTATCGTGCGAAGTATGTCTGTATGTTTTTCTTATCTCGAATTTTTGATAGAGATATTATTTTTAGCTAGAGTTTTATTATCGTGTAAAAACTATTATTCACTTACATTTTATCACTGTTACGATGACTTAAATTGAATAAATTATATATTGGAAAAAAAAACTAGATATGAAAAATTTGAGTTTATAATATTATAATTAGATTTATACATTCACGATTCGTCTGTACTCCCTGTTTTCCTTATTTCTATCACCACTTATTTCTCTATTTTTTTTTTCTATGTTATACAAGTTATAGGGTACACAAATTATATTTCAGCATTCGCCACTGTAAAAATAACAATATTTTATATCGACTATGTATCCTTTTTATTTATTTTTTAAGAACAAATATTTATTTTACCTACACAATCTGAAATAATTCAATTACAATAGTGGCAATACGCATTGTAAATTTAATAATTAAAATGATATGTATTGCTAATTATTTTTAACGTTTTATAATTTGGATATGTAATACTTTATTAGGCATGGTATATGTATATTATAATAAAAATGCAATATTTTAATTTGTTTCGAAGTTATCGCGACTACAAATGAATCCATTAAACTTTTTTTTGTATGTAGTTCGTGTACAAATTAATGTAATTTAAAATTGTTCATAAGACGTGCTATACATCGTTAGCTACCCAGCAAAACATCATAAGCCGTTTTTTGTATATTTTGTAAACAACTTTTCTACCAGAAATCTTGTTCCAATCAAAAACTTTATAAGAAACTTTCTTGTATCATTTTTGATATAGTCGGCTCGTTTAGGAGGTCACATTTTTATTTTACTATTGGTTTCCGTAATAACAAGTTTTTTGCCACAGTTATGCGAGAATTTGTTAAAATCGAATTGATGCGTATAACCGACGATATATTATATAGGTATTATGCAGTTTTTCGATGCATAATAGCAGCATAAACGTGTTTATCGTTAGGACTTGAAAAATGTTGTATGAAAAAAATAATGCCGATCCCAAAGAACGCAAATAGATAAATCGAAATAAATAGAAGAAATAAATCGTGTGCGGTTAATAAACAAATGTCGTTACAGTTGATAATCATGTACTCGTTTTATGTTTCTATTTGAACAGAGTTCGCCAACAGAACAATATTCAAATAATATATTATAACGGGTCAAGCGTAAAACTAAACCTATGTATTCCGGGAAAAATATGTATGAAGTTAGGATATATAGAGTTATTTTATAATTCATATCTGTGTGCAGCGATAAATCACTGCTAATGGAATACGTTTCTGAGCGATATTCTGTCGAACATATTTTAAATGTCATAATTTGTATGATTTACGTCGAAATTTGAACATACAACGATTCACAACAAACAATGATTAACGATTCAACGATTTTGAACAAGGAGATGTTTTTACGGTTTTCCTTTTAATTTTTCACGCAATTACATACATTTAATTAGACTTTCCTTATTCAACCACTGTCTTTCGAAGCGTATACACATCGAAGTTTTAGATACCTATCCATATATTTACTAGTTTTAAAGTTTCAAACGTTGTAAGACTACAAAGTTCTAAATTTCCGTTAACCTTTTAAATGCGTTTGAATTATTTAAAAAAAAAATCTAAATAAACTGGTCAACACAAATGACTTTCGAGTACTTCGACTGTTTTGCAAATTTGCATAGTTGCCTAGAACGAATTAAATATCGCAGTGACAGGAATGCAATGTTATTTAAATGTAAACGAATGATGCGTTTGTTCGGATGACCGACATACCCTGATACTAAATAAGGTAATTAGGTAATAAGGTAATTATTCACGAAATAATATTATCGTGTCAAACCCACCCCCCCCACAACACCCCCTCAAATTTCCTGCCATTTTTTCCTGATAATTTTCACATGGCGTTTTTTGTTTTTTTTTTTTATTTATTGTCAGTAGACGGGGGGATTTGCAAGGTGAAAACCACTCAACGGCGGTTGATTACCGCAGGCGTCTATATACTCACATATAAAATGACCGCCTAAACTTTTTGAACAAGTATATATATTTATATACAATATACTTAATGTCGACGATCGCCTCGAGGAAAACAAAAAAAAAAAAAAACACGTCATCGTAAAACTATATAATAGGTCCCTCGGCCCGTTCACGGTGAACAGAATATACGCGGTGAAAAACCGTTTGCGAAAACTCTGCTGTTACACGCGACAAACGGCGAGCAAAAAAATCGAGTGTTTTCATTTTCACTTTGTTTTTTTTACCCTGTCATAGGCGGTAGGTGATAAGAACGGCGTGGCAACGATTTCGAGCGTGCAATTTCCCGCGGGTAAACATCTTAACTATACGCAGGCGTGGGTGTACGTGATATTCATCACGGTATATATTGTTGGAGCCCGGATTTAAACGCCTTGGAAAAGATTAAACAAATTTCCTAAAAATATCCCAAACAAATAAATGAACATCAAAAAATGACGCGTAACACGGATTTCATTTAGGAACTGTCTGCTGTTCTACGAATTATCATTATTCACTTGAAACACATTATCGTGGAACACCCTTACATACCCCCTCTCCTAGCAAAAAAATTAAATTGAACACACTGATTTGCAATGTTATCGGTACGGATGCGAACTACCCGAACCCAATCATATCACAACACTACGGGATAAAGCAAAACATTACGATTAGGAAAATACCTCGAGACAGCGGCGTGGCTGGAGCTCGATTAAGAGTAGGAGCACGGTTTAAAAATTGTTTGTGCACCACGGGTATAGAATCAACTGTTGTATTTGATTACCTGTAAACTATAAAGCCGTGATTAAACCATCACTACTAAAAAGAGGGCTCAGCTGTCGTTTGAATTACCGCCCGATTTCGTACGCTTAAAAATGTAACGTATAAAATGCGCGAAAAAACACTATGAACAATGAAAAAAAAAGGGGGGGGGGAAATACGATACAAAAGTTTCGCTTTTCGAGTACCTGAACAGTTGTTGAAGAACCGCGTGCATATTACAATATAATACAATACAGTAGTCGCGAATACATGCTTGGAAATGCG